ATATATCAATCCATGTATTTTTGTGTTTTCCACTACAAATGTAAATAATACAGTTTGGGATGATTAAAAAGATGCTTAATTTATTTTAGAAATATGCGTTGTTATCGAGTAAAGCACTTAAAGTGTAATATAACAGAAATGAATAGATATATTAAATACTTTTATAAAAATCTAAATATATCATTTGGTATTCGAACAGCTTATTGGTTTTCTCTTATGCGAATGCATAATGATGTGTATAAGCTTAGCGGACTACTCGAAATTACGCGGCGTATTCCGGTTCGTCGCTGTAAAAATGTTCATTGGAATGCATCCCTTGACTACACTCAAAGTATAAGATAAGCAATTTAGAGGCAAACTCCGTTGGTAGCTAAAATATAAACAAATCAAAATTAGTCGAATTTCAGGAATGACGCCGCTTAAGTCAGGTACTCACTCTCTCAATGATATCGTGCCTAATATCTGTTGCTGCTGCATAAAGAACCAATGGCTGTTGCGTTCGTCGCTTAGCCAAGATGCTCAGCAAGTCCACAATGAAGGCATCTGTTATGCCCAGACAAAAGCAGATGTTCAGGTACCGCAACTGTTCGTTATTGCGGATTAGATTCAAAAGTTCCGATTCGCCAATGTCTCGGGCCAATTGCAATGAAAGGCACTCTAATTGCGTAAGATTCGCTAGATGGACCACGCAACGATCATTACGAGGCTTGCACACAAGCCATTTGAGTGTTTTTATTGAGCCAATGCGTTGCGCCTGCTCCTCGTCGATCCATTGTTTACGTTGCAAAATCAGAAATTCCAAATTCGTTGCGCACTTGCACAACGTTTTCAACAAACGCGTTTTCTGATTATCTGGACAATAAAGTTGAAGGTATTGCAAATTGGGAAACATTGACAAGACTGTCAGATCTGCATCGCTGTCCTGAAAGCTGAACTTAACTAGCTGTCGACAATTGATGGCCAGTTGCTTAAGCGCACTTGTAGTCAAAAATTTCTTGGCATTTCGCAGTTGGAGTGTGCGCAAATTTCTCATTGATTTGGTGATGGCAATGAAGTCGGACGCGGTTACCTCGTCGTACATTTGAAGCTCCTTCAAATTGATGAAGTGACGCAATTCTTGCACTGTAATTTATTGAATTAAACAATTAGAAGTATTAAAGAATCTAATTTTAGTCAACGCTTACATTCCCGGCGTTCAAAGCATTCCAAGCCAAGATATTGTATGTGGGGCAGTTTTAGCTTCATACATTTAATTAGATCTATGCTGGTGCTTTTGTAGTTACGTACGTAAACCTTCTCCAATGTTGTTAATTTCAGCAAATACGGCTGTGCTCTGACCACCGTAACATTACGCAGCGTAATGCTCTCTAAGCGGACGCAGAATTTTGACACCAACGATAATATTTGCAGCGGATGATCGTCGTCACGATAGCAAGTTAACCTTTTGACATTGGCACCGCACATCCATAAAAAGGCACGCCAACTGTCTAAATTACGAAGCTTTATGTCGCTATCCACTATTTCTTCGAATCGTTGGCGGTGCAGGTAGGCGAATGCATCGCGAAATCTGCGACAGCAAAGTGCTAAACTGACTTGATCCTCTAAGTTATGCAGAAACTTGAATATCAACAGTAGGCATTGGAAATTGAGATCCGTAAAGTCGGTTGTGCGCGCCATTTTATTATTTTATGCGCGTTAATTAAAGGAAATAAAAACATAGTTTGCAACAAAAGGTAATTGACACTCAGCTGATATCCAATTCTATCGACATATCTATCGCTATCGATTTTATAAAAAGAGTGACTGCATTTAATTTATTTACAAAATACTGAACTTCTTATCAAAAATGAGCTCATGCCATTCGATTGAAAAACATTCGATTAACAGCATAGATATCAACCCTAAGCACAATAAGAAAGAACGACGATAACGAAACACGAAAGAGAGGCAGCAATTTAATAAATTACAAAGGAAAAAAGGCAATACAACACTACAAGCTGTGTGTCTGCTTTAAGCAAGTGCTTAATTCGTGCAAGGACACCAAACTCCACGACACGCGTACAGAGACAAACAGACGCCAGCAACATCAGCACACACACACAGTTTAGATGATGAGCAGCAGAACGGACACGGATGGCTCCTCCATACGTTTCAGCGATCACACACTGGACAAAGCCACCAAGGCCAAGGTGACGCTGGAAAATTATTATAGCAATTTGGTGACACAATACGGCGAGCGAAAACAGCGCCTGGCCAAACTAGAGGCGCAGCTGAAGGACGAAAGTCTAACAGAGTCACAGCGTCAGGAGAAACGCTTACAACATGCGCAAAAAGAGACAGAATATTTGCGTCTTAAGCGATTGCGTCTGGGCGTCGAAGACTTCGAAGCATTGAAAGTCATCGGACGCGGTGCCTTCGGCGAGGTGCGTTTAGTGCAAAAAAAGGATACGGGACATGTGTACGCGATGAAGGTGTTGCGCAAAGCGGACATGCTCGAAAAGGAGCAGGTGGCACACGTACGCGCTGAGCGCGATGTTCTCGTCGAAGCGGATCACCAATGGGTGGTCAAGATGTACTACAGTTTTCAGGTAAGAGTGCAATCAGAACCAAATATCGCAAACGACGCACACGATTCGCAACATGCAGTTGAAAATCAATAAACCAATACAAGCGCAAAAGTGCTTGCCAAATCATATGGTCTGCGCTTTGTTGTTGTTTGCTATTGCTGTTACTGTTGTTGCTGTTGTTGTTTGATTTGTTCTTGGTGAAAGTTTTCACGCAAATACAGACACATGCATATGTAAGTGTGTGTGTGCTCGCGTGTGTATGTGCATTTGTGTGTAAATAATCCATAATAAAGAAATCAACATTTTTTGTACGCAGCTTCGTAACCATTTAGCATTCTTGATATACATTTATATACAAACCGGTTACATTATGACATTTTCAAGTATGACATATGTAAATGGAGGGAAAAGAAACGAAAATTCTTTATTCATATTTTGATTAAGAATTCATTATTCACATATACTTTATATATATCAATAATATAATATGTCTTTTAATATTAATATTGCAGTTCAATTTCAATTAACCTATTCTCTTCCAAATGTTTCACAGGACCAGGTCAATTTATATTTGATAATGGAATTCTTGCCTGGGGGTGATATGATGACGCTCCTAATGAAGAAGGACACACTATCGGAGGAGTGCACACAATTCTATATAAGTGAAACGGCGTTAGCGATCGATTCGATTCATAAGCTAGGTTTCATACACAGGGACATTAAGCCAGATAACTTGCTGCTGGATGCGCGAGGGCATCTAAAGGTAATCCAGTGTCAATGTCAATATTAATACATATTAACTATAACATTTATTTGAATAGCTCTCAGATTTTGGATTGTGCACGGGATTGAAGAAGTCACATCGCACGGATTTTTATCGTGATTTATCGCAGGCGAAACCATCCGATTTTATTGGCACCTGTGCCAGGTAAGTGAAATAAAGGAGTCAAATTAGTACATGGAATTATGTATTGTACTTGTGCAGTCCTATGGATTCTAAGCGGCGCGCAGAGTCCTGGAAACGAAATCGTCGCGCTCTAGCCTATAGCACAGTGGGAACGCCCGATTATATAGCACCCGAAGTATTCCTGCAAACCGGTTATGGCCCTGCGTGCGATTGGTGGTCCCTGGGCGTTATTATGTACGAAATGCTAATGGGATATCCGCCATTCTGTTCGGACAACCCACAGGACACGTATCGCAAGGTGATGAATTGGCGTGAAACGTTAATATTTCCGCCCGAAATACCCATATCGGAGGAGGCCAAAGAGACGATCATCAATTTCTGTTGCGAGGCCGATCGACGCTTGGGCTCGCAGCGAGGATTGGAGGATCTAAAGTCGGTGCCGTTCTTTCGCGGCGTCGACTGGGAACATATTCGCGAGAGGCCAGCTGCAATACCCGTTGAAGTGCGCTCCATTGACGATACGTCCAATTTTGATGAATTTCCTGATGTCTCGCTGGAGATACGTAAGTGCAATCTATTTACGTGTAGGTTCTAAATTATTAAACTGTTCCATATTCTTTTTTCCGTTGTTTAGCTTCGGCACCTGTACCGCAGGGCGGTGAAATTGCCAAGGATTGGGTCTTCATTAATTACACGTACAAGCGCTTTGAGGTGCGAAATTTGGAATGAAGCTGCGCAGCTTGCCGGTAGCCACACTTTGCCACCATCATTACCACCACCACCACCACTCACAACACCACCACCAGCAACAGCTGCATCTGCAGGAGTAGCAGAAACCATAATTGCAACCGTAGTCTCTCTAACACCATCATCAAGAGCATTCTCAATCGCTATAAAACTTAATTTTCATTTTGAATGTCTTACCTACATGTGTATTTAAATACTATAGCTAACATTTGTGATTAAAACAAAAAAAAAAAAGCAAACAAAAAAGAAACGAAAAAGAACAACAAAACAAAACACAGCAAACGCAAGAAAAGTGAAAAATATGTATGTATTGTATTTGTAAATGTTTTGCGCCTAAACTTAAGTTAAAATGCTTAAATTAACTAATTCACCACAGTTTTTGGCTTCGTTCAATCCTCCCCCAAAAGTCCCATTGAAAATCGTTGTGTTTTGAAATATGGCACTTGAATAACCAATTTGGCAATTGTTTATAAATTATATATTTGTTTTCCTTCATTGGGCAGCAGCGAAATTTGTTAATCAATTT